TCTGACTCAAGTTAGTCGGTGGGAGCCTGTATTGGCCACTGCGTTTTTAGGTTTTACACATTTGGTTTCACTCTGAAGGTGGATATCACTGGAATATGATTGCTGGGGCTTAAAAGTGATCTAGAATCAGAAAGGGCAAAACTTTCTACCTGTCGTTTAATGACGTGATACTTATATTTTCCCCTCACCACTTACCTCACCAAAACTCAACAGTCTCTTCTCTCCTCATTTATCATGGTCTAACCTTTTGAACTTTAATTTGGAGGAACAGGCCAAAATAACCTCAGTTAATAAAACCTTGTTGGCTTGTTTTGTTTTGTTTTTCTCCAGGGAGCTGAATGCTTTCATGTGTGTTCCCAAAGGAGATAGCTGTCCTTATGAGTTCATTTTCCAACTAGAAAATAGAAATGGAATCTAGAAGATTGAGAAAGGCAGGGAGATCATCTAACATGAAATCCGGTTGCTAACACTTAGGTCTGCCATCACTTCTCTGAGTTCTGGAAACTTCTCCAGTCTTTCCTGTAGGAACTCTAGTTGCACTGTCAGCCACATCCAGAAAAGCCAGCAATGGTTCATGGGATTTCTCTTCCTTTTCATTAGGAACTCCCTAATACCTAATCATCCCCATGACTGTCCTCGGATACAATGTGATTGAGCATTTACTATTTTGCAGGTGCAATACTGAAACAAAGAGAATAGGTCCGAATGGAGAAGGCTGTGAGGCGCCAGCCGATGAATTCTACCATCTGCATCTTTCTACAATTACCCCGTGAAATTATATATGATAAATGCAGCAACCTATGCTTCCCAACTGTGAATTTTTTGAATTCGGTTTTTATTCTTCTAATCTGTCTCTGGAACCATTTCATAATGTGATATATATGTGTTTCTTTCATTCTTATTCAAATTCTTTTTAGAACCCAGCAGTTTACATAGAAAAAAAATTTTTTTTTCAATCAACATTATTCCATTCAATACCCTTAGTAAGACGGGAGAGTTACCAGACTGTTAAGCAAACGATAGTTGGGCATGATGTTCAAAAAGATAGAAATGACACATTCAGACAGGGCGGTTAGAAGCTTTCTTTCTTAATTGATAATTAGAGATACAGTGCATCAAATGGGCATATGATAAATATCAGTGCTCGCTTGACCTACCAAATATATTTGTTTGGAAAAATATAAATGACAAATTGACCTTCAGATTAATAGGCTACCGTATTGGTAAAGTACAAATCACTTTTAACAGCCACATTACTTTAGTAAAGAGAAGCTTGCTAACTGCTCTTTAATTAAGTACACTAATGACCTTAAGGGGATTAGTAGTCTTGTCTGATAATCAATAAGCATGGCAAGATTGCCGCCTCATAAACTGGGGTGGGAGAAGCAAATTAATCTGCAAAGATTAGTTCCCCCTAGTTTTTTCCTTATAGTTTGATTCTTTCCAACCCTTAGGAAACTCATAATCCCAGGCAAAAAGAACATACCAATAATCTATTTGTTCCGAAGATGTCTCTCTATTCTAGCAAACATGGTTTAAAAACAGTGCCAAGAATCCAAGTGACAATTTAGAGGTCTTTTTCTACAAGTCATTGCTTGAATAATGCTCAAATAAAATTCTCTGCTGCCCTGTTTAATAAGTGATTGACTAATGGATTAGAACTAACTATGTCACGATGGGATTCAGTTTCTTCATTTGTAAAATGAAGGAGGAGCCCTCTAAGGTCCTTTCCAGTTTCTATATTATATTTTGAACAGATAATAATGGATTTATTTTGTGAATTATGCATTTTTTAGTAGCCAGTCATGCAATAGACTCTCAACTTCTGGGCTAACTCTCATTTCCTTTGCTCCTACACACTCAGCAAGAACAAGCATAATGGTGGAAGAAAGATCATGTGTACTGCATTATCAAGGTAAAACACAACAAATAAATTAAAAGTCTGTGCAGTATATGATGCTGTGTGGCACAGTGGAGACAGGAGGAGATGGGAGATAAGGTGGCATCTGGGAATAAGAGCTTTGGAGCCACAACTTTTCTGTTCAATCTACCTTTAAGATGCATGACCTTAGACAAACCGTTCTTCTCTTCTCAACCTTAGTAGCGGTGTCTGAGAGGATTAGCATGCAGATCATCAGATTTATGGTGAGTAACTGTCCTATGTACATATCATGCTATTTTCCATAGCAGATGCTTAGTGAATGGCAGTTCCCATCCCATCCCAGTCTCAGACGTTTCTGGGTATCAGATAGAAGTCACATGCAAGTTTACATACGTATGTAGTCTATATACAATATAAGTATATATGATATATACATTCCACACTTGTATGTGAGTACCCATCAAACCCCCTTTAAAAACAGGACTTTGCCTTTTTATCCATTGTTTTCAGCTCTCAGTTTAGTACCTGGCACACACACATATCAATCAAACTACTAAGTACATTTATAGTAGCTTATCGAGAGCATTTTATTTATTTATTTTAAGCTTTCAATGCTGTATTGAGGCTACCTAGACAATCAGCCTATTCACTGAAACGAGTGTATCGGATATGACTTTTCCTTAAATATGTCAGTATTACCAGTTCTGTGCTCATTAGTTTACTTACGCAATAATTAAGCCTATGTCCCAGGGGTTGTGTGAAGTAGTGTTAAACTTGAAATGATCGTGAAAACATTACATAGCTAGTTAACATGTGTATCCATATTGGATAGGCTTTTTCTTAATGTCTTTTAATAGCCACATGTAAGTCATCTATTATTGTAAATGTACGTCAATTATTATGCAAGAAATACTGTAAGACTCTGACTTGGTGGCTGAAAGGTCAATAAAAACCACCTTGTCTGCATGAGATAACCCCCTATTTACTAGAAATATTAAAGTAATGTAATAAGAGCCAAATCTGCAGAATCATCTCAGAGGCTTCAAAAACTAAAAAAAAAAACAAACAAAAGCAAAACCAAACCACTGAACTTCTAGCAACATTGCTGATATTTCAGAGACCTTTTATTAGGAATTGGTTATGTAACTTCTTAAGTAACCCTTCTGTAAGAGGAAAATGAAAACAGTTCTTTAGAACAAAATCTCTGAGCAAGGGAAAGAATCAATCCTCCTTTTCTGGGTATAAAAACCGTTCACATTCGTCATGTTCTAAGAGTGAAAAATCCATATAGTTCATGGTAATGAAGCTCATTCTGAAATTGTGTGAGATACCTGATTTCTCCCAAACATTGTTGTCCATATTTTTAGGTCCTGTTGCAATCCATATTTTTTTCCAGTGTGCAAAAGCAGGGAAAAAGTTCAGCTCACCTCCAGCACTGGTATCACCTGTGAATGCTTAAATACTGTTGTATTTCTCTCCCAAGAGCTTGCGTCTGAGCAAATGTTTCTAAAGCTCTTCTTCAGCTTGCTCACCTGTAGGAGTGGTTAGGACTCATCCCCTCTTTCCCTAAGGGCATTCCCTGCAGCACCTGCTCTGATCAGCGACCAGATACTACACTATGCACCCATTGCTGTTGCTTGTGGACTGACTGGCCATCTGAGCTGCCAAGTGATCTTTAAAACCTGCTGAAATGTGTTTGCTTTCCAGCTCATTCAAGAGGTCCTACTGTCAGAACCACGAGCCAGCATTATCCTTCAGGTCATCAGTTGAATCGAGAGTGTCATTATAAATGGCAAGATACTTTGTTCAACTGTTTCCGCATGGATGTGCTAACATCAATATCAATACACAGTATTACGTCATGAGATTTTCTCAATCCCTTTCTTCCAGATCAGCCATTGCCATTAAAACAAACAAATGTCAACCGTTCACACTCATAATGTTTCCTCAAAGTCCTTAGCAATGGGATACAATAATAACAAGCATAAAATTATCCCAAGTTTCCACTGTGCCTTTCAGTGAAGCCCTACAAATTCAACATGTCCAGGATGCAGTGTTGCCGCTCCGAGGAACAGCTGAGGAAGATAAGCACTCCTGGAACTGAGACCTCATTCTTGATTTAGCTGAAACAATACTTCAAAGTTGTTATACAAATGAAAGAGAGAATCATAGATAAGGTATTATTATTGTTATTAATTATTCTATTAGATGTTTGTAGGCAGCCAGAAAATGAACAAGAATGATAGAATATTCCAGAGCGGATTCAGCTGAGGATTAATGGGTCTGCCAAGCACTCCTCCTTTCTCACTTGTACACATGCACATGCCTGAAGCCCGAGGCGCCTATAATTTTAGCATCGTCTCCAATGGCCTGACTAAAACATCATGGGGAGGAAATGCGGAACAGTGAGGAAAGCACAAGTTTGCTACGACCATCTCCCACGCGATCTGCATAGGACTTGGGCAAGTCCCTTCACGTCTCCAGGCCTCCCATTCCTCTTCCATAAATATGGCTCTCGCAAGGCTCTTGAAGGTTCAAGGCTTATTTACATAGGTCACCTAGCACCATGCTTAGGTTCAGAATAGTGATTTTTTTTTGATGTTTTCATTTATTTTTGAGAGATAAAGAGAGCGAAACAGAGACACAGCATGAGAGGAGGGGAGGCAGAGAGAGAGAGGGGAGACACAGAATCTGAAACAGGCTCCAGGCTCTGGGGTGTCATCACCGAGTCCAATGCAGGGCTTGAACCCACAAATCGTGAAATCATGACCTGAGCTGAAGTCAGATGCTCAGCCGGCTGAGCCACCCCAGCGCCCCAGAATACTAGTATTTAAGTAGATGCTTTAATTTTCAAAAATTAAAATTAAAAAGGCAAAACTTCAGCAGTGCCTATACCCATTCACCCAGATCAATTCGCTAGTAGTAAGTAAAGCCCAAAGAGACCTGAATGGAGAGCAGAGAAGGTTCAGAGAACAAAACTTATACCCTGAGGGCCACCAGGAATGGGACCTTAAAGAGATCGGGAGAGCAGGAGCTGACAGAAGGGGAGGCAAGGACGCTCAAAAGGAGTTTTCTGAGGCATCAAACACAGTTTCCATTGCTCTGGACGAGCCCTGAGTCTGGATGAAGATCTTTAATCAGAGAGCAATGAAGTGTTATTAACATCAAATTACACATTTTATTTTGGAATAGTCCTTTCCATTTCTGTTTCTTTCTTGTGTGAAACATTTTCCTCAGCATTCTCTCATATTGGCATGTGTGTTTATTTGTTTGTTTTCTGACAATGGTGTTGGAGTTTCCAGTGATGGAGGATTTGACTGGAGGCATGAAGCGCATCAGGGTTGTGGCCCTGGGGCCTATGTTTTGATTGGCTACGTTGATAAACGACTCCGGAATCAGGGTGCACCTGCCTTCTGCCACAGATTATGAACTGGGGGCCAGGCTTGTGAAACTCTCTGCAAAGAGCATTCTTCTTACGTTTTCATTTTCTACAAAATGCCAGGAAAGTTTCCAAGTAAGAGCAATCACTGTTAAAGAAAATAGGACATAAAATAAACTGTTATTACCTGCAAAACAGCTGTATTTCCTTTTCTTCCCACAGATGCACATAAACCCTCTGTATACTCTGACATGAAGAAATGTAATAGAACTTTTCTTTCTGTAAGCACTAGATATTTGTTTTCGATAGGTAACATCTGAAAAAGAAAAGTTGTACTTAAAACTTTATCAGCTGTTGGATGATCACAAAATTAAAGAAGGGATCTCACAAACTGATCTGGTCCATTCTTGATCTAAGACAGTGGGGTGTCAAGGTTAAAAGCAAGTGCTTTTTGCAGTAGGACAGACTGAGATCCAATCCCAGCTCTGCTGCTTAGGATGCATGTGACCTAAGGAAAGATATTTCCGCTCTGCAAGCTTTAATCTCATCGTCAAAGTGTGAGCAATCATGGCACCTACCTCACAGGTCTTAGGTATTAAACGAAATATAATATCTGAAGTGCTAAATATAGCACTTTGATCCACTGGAAGCCCCAAATAAATGATAGCTATTATAACAAAATTGTCCTTAGTAAATGGTTGTCTGTCATCATTTCATAATATCTCAGGGGACCTAATGTAGAAGTTAAGGAAATGAGAATATTTTTAATCTCATGCTTTCTTTTTCCGTTTATTTAAACCCACTGCTTGTCCTGATTGTCTCCTTTGAATGTTATGAATGGTTTCCCAGCTCCTGTCTTATAGACATGTTCTTCACATATCTAGAAATTACAGCTGAGAAAGACCTCATATATAATTTAATGCAACTCCCTTGTTTCTGGATGATGGAAGTAAGTGTTAAAAGATGACATGACTTGTGTGATGTTGCAGGTATAATCATCAAGACTCCAGATAATTCTGGGCGTCTATCAGTGTTCCTTTCAGGTAGTGCTTTTTTTTTTTTCTTTAACAGATACTTTTGTTTTTTTTGTACAAATAGCCCAGGAGGACACTAGCCCCAGGCAGACAGAAGCCCAAGGGTCACTCCAGTCCTTACGTCCTCATATCAGCAGACAGAAGTCTCTATGCTACAGACTTTGTGGGGACCTGGGCACCTCTGGGGCACGGAGCCACAGATGCCACCTGAGTCTTGGTTTGAACCTTGGCCTTGGCCTTTGGCAGGCAGAGCCTGAGAGCCTTGGCAATAGGAGCAGAGCACATTTTTTGAGCTTGGGATGGGCAATGTAGGCAAGGTGCCTGAGCATGCAACTGCTACCCTTCGGGGACCGTGAGCTTGATCTCTTTGGGCTTTACATGAGTCTTGCTGGCCTCAGCACATGCACTCATGGCCTTGGCATTGTTGGTCTGCATTTTCTGATCCTTCTTATTGAGCTTCTTGGCAAAGAACATGTTCCTTAGGAACTTGGGATCAGTTCATTTCAGAGATTCATATCTTCGTTATCAAGATTTTTTGATGTTGTTTCTGTGCCATTATGGAGATTGGTCATACGTAGTGTGGTTCTCGGACTTGGCCATGTCGGCACCAAAGCCGTGGCTCCCCAGACACCTAGGATACCAGGTAAAACTCACTGAACTTGAAGCTAACTCATCCTCTCCTGTCTTTGTCTGCTGATACGAGTTCTTCTACTTACTGTTTTTGATTATACTATCAAAGACACTTTTTATGACACATAATTGGCATTTTCCAGGTTCTCTGATATTTTCTAAAAACTGAAGACTCCAAACTAGATGGATTCCCTTACTGGTGCCTATTTACAGACAAGGGTTACTGAAGGGCTCCTCCCTGCTCCCTGATTTTATGTGTTGTCACGCCAACTCAAAGGACCTTCTCTGACAACTTTTCTGAACAGTCCTGGTAAAGATTATGTTCTCTTTTGACCTCTCATAGTTCCAAGTACGTGGCATTAAATCCTCCTTCCTGGGCTCTAAGTCCCTGGATGGAGGGATTCTAGCTGCCGGCAGAGTCATACTCGGCATCCCCCAACTGATCTCCAGTCACAGGACAGTCCTTCTTTCTTTGTTTGTGGGACAGCACCTCCCAGGGTGACATGAAGGCACACTAGGCACTGCTTCTGATTTCTGAAAAGTAAAGCAAAAGGCAGGAGATTTTGAGTTTTGGCTCTTCCTCTTTTAAATTAAACCCTAACTGGTTATAATTTAATACATGACAATATCCTGTTGTTTGTCTTTTTCGTCACTGTCAACTGTTCTCAGTAGAAGTGTCTTCACAGCCCATGGTATAAATATTGAGACACATTATTTGGTTTAAAGAAGATTCCATTGTATCCTTATTTAATTTTTTAGGTAAGTTTAAAGGTAATTTTAGGTAAATTTTAGGTAAATTTAAAGGATCTATAATATCCAGCATAGTTATGCTCAGAAATCAAACACTGATTCCTAAATCAAGCAAGCACAGAACAAGCTACTTCATGACCTGCAATTGTTGAATGAAAGCTTCATATGAAAGAAAGAAACTATTTTACCCTTTTGTTTCTAATTTCTGTTATTTTCATCTTGCCTGATTCACACATTTGTTCTTGGAGGCCGCTTGGCAGGATGGATAAGGCATAGACTTTAGAGACATATACACTTGGATGCAAGCCTTATTCTCTTTCTTGTTTTCCAGGTGATCTTTCTCTCTTTCTTGCTCTCTTACCTAAAGATCCCCCAGGGTACTGGAAATATAGACCGAAATAACAATTACCCCCTTTGTCTCTTTAAAAAACTTCTTTTTTATAGGCTCCTTTCGTGAGATTCATCTTTAACCCTACCTCCCTTTTTTTTTTAATGTTTTATTCATTTCTGAGAGTGAGAGAGAGAGAGAGTGAGAGAGAGAGAGAGTGAGAGAGAGAGAGAGAGAGACAGCGTGAGCAGGGGAGGGTCAGAGAGGGAGACACAGAATCTGAAACAGGCTCCAGGCTCTGAGCTGGCTGTCAGCACAGAGCCCGACATGGGGCTTGAACCCACAAATCGTGAGATCATGACCTGAGCCAAAGTTGAACGCTTAACCTACTGAGCCACCCAGGCGCCCCTACCCTACCTCCTTTTGAGGAAGGCCAAAGAGCATGGATTTGGTGTGTAAAGTTTTATAGATCACACGTATCGGTTTGAAAACAAAGATGTTAAAATTTGAAAACTGCTTTTTATATAACTTTATGAAAACTGGTCTGAAGTAGTAACTTAACGGCTGACCAGTTTCATTGGGGGTCAGAGGAGGCAGGTGTGGGGTTTCTACAGAAAGCTAGATGACGACAAAATTATTTTCAAGAAAAATACCTCTACTTTAAACCTGACCGAAATGAATAGAAACCCTCCACTGAAGGGAGGAGAATGGGTGAAAAAGATGAGAACACATTCCTCATCCATAAAAGCACCAGGAAAATGGTATCGAGTCCAGATGATGCCCAGCTCGGACACAAGCCAAGGGGAGGCTCTATGGACAGAAATGTCATACAGATTGCATGTGAGGAAACACAAAATACAGTCTTAAAAATAACCACAAAAGAAAATATTTGTGGCTGGGTAGAGGAAGAGAATTAGAATTTAGTCAATATTCTTTTTTTTTAAATGTATTTATTTAGTTTGAGAGACAGACACAGTGCAAGTTGTGGAGGGGCAGAGAGAGAGGTACAGAGCCCAATGCAGGGTTTGAGCTCACAAAATTGTTAGATCATGACCTGAGCTGAAAGTAAGAGTCAGACACTTAACCAAATGAGCTACCCAGGCACCCCAGAATTTAGTCAATATTCTATTAATGATTATTTTATAAGACCTAGTACTTATTAATTTATGTCTATGCTTTCCTTTGAAATGTCATATAAGGTATATGGGAGTCTTAATTTGGGAAATCATGTTGGCAGTGTGTCAGTATTGCTGAGGGTTGAAAGAAGCAACCAGAAAGGCAAAGGTCCAGGCACCCAAATATTGATTTGCACACTATCAAATGTGGTTTACAGTACAACTGGGAGATCAACAACTCACTCCTAATTACTATCATCCAGCATGCATTTGGTGCATGGCTTCGTTTAAGATCCTCTGAACCACTCTTAACTGTAGAGAGAAAACTGAGGGTTGATGGAGGGAAGTTTGGGGGGGGATGGACTAGATGGGCGATGGGCACTAAGGAGGGGACTTACTGTGATGAGCACTGGGTGTTGTATCTGAGTTCTTCTTCTGAAACCAATATATTGCACTGTATGTTAACTAGCTAGAATTTAAATAACTTTTGAAAGGAAAAAAAAAGATCCCCTGAATCCATTTATTCCCCCTCCCTTCCACTCTCTCCTCAGGGGAGCTAACAGTTGGTTATTTTCAGTGAAACATTTCTTATTCCAAGAGGGGCTCATCAACCCAGAGAAGCTGGATTAGAGATTTCACTTCACACTTCTTAGGAGCCAGTATTTCCTTCTTGTATGGACTCCCTACACTTTCAATTATTCATTCAAAGCCTTTCCACTCTCTCACCCCAACTGTAGGAATGCAGAGGCTAGGTCTTGTTTCTCACACTCTTCTCCTGATACCACAGTAACCAGTGCATGATGGGCTCTCGGCCTGTGTAACAGATGTTGTTCTATGCACATGTCACGTGGCTGGGAACAAAACAGACACGAATCCTGCTTTGTGGAGCTTGGCTTCTATGAGGGGAGACAGGCAATAAGCAAATAAGCAGGGCATTCTCTAGAAGAATGTTTGAAGGTGATGATTGCTTTGGAGAAAAAGTAAGCAGGAAAAGGTGATGGTGAGGGTGGGGAGGGGGCTTTCAGTTGTAAGTAAGTGATGATGTCATGGAGGTTTGAATAATGATCTGAAGAAGGTGAGGGAGCAAGTATATCTGTCAAAATGGTGTTTACTGGTTGAAAAAAAAAAACAGCAAAGGAGAGGAAGGGAGAAAGAGCACAGTTGCTGGTCTAGGGCCTCCATCATTGGGCTGGTTCCAAACTCCTTGCCCAGTAGGACTATGGTAGGTTAGAAATGGTACACGTGAAAATCTGAGAAAGGATCTCTGGCTTGGAGCTTCTTGCTTTCTAGTTTGAAATACAAAATCTAAAAGAAAAACTAGATCATGTGACACAGATTAGCAAGAAGTCAAGGAAAGTAAGGGCGAACACCAGCTGGGGACAAGTTCCTGGAGAAGAGAAGGCGGGGGAGGGGCACCGGTATAAGCCAACGTAGGAAAGGAGAAACAAACTGGAGACACAGGGGAGGATTTGATTTCTGGGACTTTCGGATAAGGCTGGCTTGTCAGGGTGGGTCAGAGATAGAGAGTGCTTAGTGCCAGAAGAAAGAAACTTTGTGCCTGATGTGACACGCAACTGTATTAACTAGCAGATTTGATGATGATTAATCTGAAACCCAAGATAGATGGAAAAGGAGGAGAGAGGAAAAGTGAGTCAATTAGTGTATGACAGCGACATTTGAAGCATGGAATGATGAGGGCATGGCACCAAATAGGGGAGAGATGGAGAAGCAAGTAGCTAACTACAGGCTGCTGGGCAAGACCCAAACCCTCTGTCTGTTCTTTCATCTGCACCAGAATGAATGGGCCCGATAACCCATGCAGTCAGTTCCAGCTGTAATATACTCTGACTCTGTTTCTACTATCAAAGGATAATATAAAGAGAGCTATCTGTATTTTATATTAATTGGGCTCCAATAGTCCCTCTTCCCATGATCCTATTGTTAGCTACTGTGGGTATACTTAGACCAGTATGCTGAAATATTCATTGGAAGCTTCACTTAGAAAGTCTCCAAGAGTCTTCTGAAATTCACATTCAAATCACTTTGAAAAATATAAAAATTCACATGTGTGAAACAATGTGAGCTGTCAGAACTAGTTTAGTTTATTCTATGGCCATTATGAGAGGATAACCAAAGCAGATAGGGAAAAGAAGAGGGTTACTACCATGGGCAAATCTGCAAACCCCACACTTCCCATGTATGAAACCACAAAATGAGGCAAATACAGACTGGAAGAGCCATAGGTCATTTGAAAAAAAAAAAAAAAAAAGCCACATACAGGCAATACCATCCCTTGGAATCAAGAATTTTCTATTTTCCTTTCTCTCAGCTACATTGACTTAAGCTTAATTCACGTTTGGCAAAACTTTGGCCTGGTAACGGACCAACTTACCTACAGTGTGAAGAGATGTCAGGCAAAAGTTCTTGATAGGTAAGTAAACTAAAAATTTATTAAGATTTTAATGTAAGGGACCTACCTTTAACTCAGTTTGAATATTCATAGATGGTTATTTTGGATTCATGTGCTAAATTAATGGTTTCATTCTATTTTGGTGTTCTCACATTGTAGGGTAAAAGAACGCTGCCTAAGAAATCTTAAAATTAATTTTGTCCAAATATATTTAAACTAAGCATGCTTCAGTACATCTGGTTTCCCACCAAGTGTTGCCTGTCTATGTGTGTTTTCACAATTACTTTGGCATCAAATTGTTTCAGGACCATGAGAAAAGTATAGAGGTATAGTTAATATATAATGCTGTCCACCTTACACCTGTCAGAATGGCTAAAATTAACAACTCAGGAAATAAGAGATGTTGGAGAGAGCGCAAAGAAAAGGGAACCCTTTTGCACTGTTGGTGGGAATGCAAACTGGTATAACCACTCTGGAGAACAATATGGAAGTTCTTCAAAAAATTAAAAATAGAGCTACCCTATGATCCAGCAATTGCACTAGTAGGTATTTATCCAAAGGATACAAAAATGCTGATTCGAAGGGTCGCATGCACCCCAATGTTCACAGCAGCACTATCAACAATAGCCAAATTATGGAAAGAACCCAAATATCCTTCGGCTGATGAATGGATAAAGACGATGTGGTATGTAATATTCCATATATATAGAATATTACTCGGCGATCAGAAATAATGAAATCTTGCCATTTGCAACAATGTGGATGGAACTAGAATGTATTATGCTAAGCGAAATAAGTCAGTCAGAGAAAGATAAATATCATATGATTTCACTCATATGTGGAACCTAAGAAACAAAACAGATGAACATAGGGGAAGGGAAGGAAAAATAAGATAAAAAGAGAGAGGGAGGCAAACCATAAGACTCTTAAATACAGAGAACAAACTGAAGTTGATGGCAGGGTATTGGGTGCGGGGACGGGCTAAATGGATGATGGACATTAAAAAGGAGGACACTTACTGGGATGAGCACTGGGTGTTATATGGAAGTGATGAATCACTGGGGCGCCTGGGTGGCTTAGTCGGTTGGGCGTCCGACTTTCGCTTAGGTCATGGTCTCGCGGTTCGTGGGTTCGAGCCCCGCATCAGGCTCTGTGCTGACTGCCAGCTCGGAGCCTGGAGCCTGTTTCGGAGTCTGTGTCTCCCTCTCTCTCTGACCCTCCCCTGCTCACGCTGTCTCTCTCTCTCCTAGAAACAAATTTAAAAAAATTAAAAAAAAAAAAGAAGTGATGAATCACTAAATACTACTCCTTAAACCATTATTACACTATACGTAACTAAGTTGGATTTAAATTAAAATACATATGTGTTTATATGGTGCTGTCTGGGCACCAAATGCATGCTAAAAGATAACACAACATGCTTTAGAGCAGAGGTTTCAGAATCGCTCATACAGAGTAAAGTAGTAGCCTCCAATTCACAAACAGGGCTGACCCTATAATTTTGGGGAAATAGTACGATATGAAAAT